TATATATATATACATATAAAGGCATTGGCCTGCAACCCCAACTCAAACCCAACACGAACGCTGTTATATACAATGAACGCGTAGAAAGACCTCCGAACCGCCTGTCACTATCGTACCGATATATCATACGCTACAATGTGAAAAATAAATGGAGTATATATCGATTTTTGGGAATCTCAGTGGACGAAATTTTGAAATACGAATGCTGGTGATACCTATCGTATCGCGACGTATGCGAAACCAACTGTCGCACTTCATAAGAGATTTAAAAACACCTATGTATAGATGCACAACCGCAGGGGCGCTGGCAGTGCCAAGGGCAACTGCCACCTGCACGTATACAAAGACATACACATCAGGAAACCGATCCGATTCCTAGCTGCAGCCGTGAGATATTCTTCACAGAAACACTCCCACGTAAAAGGACAGCAGAGTGTCGGTCACCACCGCCCTTCAAACGACATCTAAACTTAGACAGCCCAGGAGTCCCGACTGGCTGACAAGGCTGATTCTCAACAACCGATGGAGTCAGTCTAATCTCATCTATTAAAACAACGTCTTTACGGCATCAGACGCTTACAGACAGATCTCAATTCAATGACTGATAGAAATCCGTGTACAGAATTGTACAAATCCGTACAAATACGCAATATCGTACAGATTACCACGAGAAAAATTGTGACGGAACAAATGATCAGTATGCCAAGTATTTATACGCATTACCGGCGATTAAAAACTTCATTAAACTGTGCGCAACTGCCCCGCCAAACTAACCAACGTCAGTTCATAGAGAATCATCGTAAAGACGATCAACAACACCAACTATACATCAAGAGCTAACAACACGTATGTATTATTAGCTACGTATGTATTATATTATACGTATGTATCAGAAGTAGATAATAGGGAATATAAAATCCCTATTATCTACTTCTGGTATGTATAATACGCATTTTTACCTCTTGTATGTATATATGACATTCCGGTTATACCGTGGGGCAAGCAATGCAATCATTGGTTTACGCTGACTCATAATCCTTCCATTCTGACAAACACATTTTCAGAGACAACGAAAGGAAAGCAATGTAATCATTGGTTTACAATGACCCACGTCATCGTCCTTCTATTCTGACAAACATATTTCCAAAGACAACGAAAGGAATGTTATTTGACCAGTACTTCCTCAGCACGCCGACGTGGCAGTCACTCACACGTTGACGGTAGCAGCAAGTTTCAGCCTACCACAAGCCACGAAGGATGTGGGGACCACCAGAGGGCGACTCTGTCTCACCGATTAAAAACTGACTTGGAGCGCGTCGCTGTCGGAATCTCCCTTTGCCGTGGCGACGATGTCGTAATCTGCATCGGGGATGTACACGCCACTCTTGTTCTCCACCATCTCAACCTGATCCGGCTTGAACCCCGGGTTGTCGATGCCCCCCTTCTGCCGCGGCATCGCTCCGTTGCGATGGTGGCCATTTTCTCCTCCGCTTTTGCCCTCCGTCAGCCGCTCGGTGCTGCTGTTGCTCATTGGCTCTCCATTCTTCTGCTTCAGGGCGCTGCCACTTACCTCGTTCTGCGTCGTGAGAATGGTTTTTGGCCGGGGAATTTGGGTCAGCGTAAAATCCTCATTGGTGAAGTTTAGGTGTGGCTGCGGTTAAAGGATAAAGACATTCAAGTAATCACGTGATGCGACCCGACATGTTTTTTTCGAATTGGAAAAAATAACAATACAGTCACGTCGCAATAAACAGTTATAGTTTATGACAAGCAGCAGTTTGTACGTGTGTTCAATTAGAATAAAGAGACAATACCTTTAACGCTATATTTAAATACATCTCTGTGTACTTCAGCTGGGTACGTGATACGCAATACGTACGATTATTAAGTGAAATTAATTAGTGAGTGATACGTTAGCTATTCCTTCAGGTAGGGAATCCAGCAAAGAACGCGAGAAAAGGAAAAAAAAAGAAAAGAAAGAGAGAAGAAGAAAAAGAGAACGAGAGACCCACCGTGTCCTTGAGCGTGAACGACTGCTGGTGGTTGCTTCTGCACGAGCTCACGATGAGACCCACTATGGCCACCATGAGCAGCGCCCCCAGTAGCGACCCCACGCACACGTAGATCACTATGCGCACAGTTTTTGTCCTGCTCGTCGTCGCGTAACCGGCGGTGACGTTACCGCCGTCGGCGACGTCACCGTCGGCGGTGACATTGAAGCGACCTTCACCGATGACGGTTACGTTGTCGTATTCGCTCGTAGTGTTGCCACCGAGAGCAGTGGTGCCGGTGTCACTGCTGGTGGAAGCTACACCATCCATTACATCTACGGTCGTGGTGGCAGTGGCGACAGCAGCTGCGGTAGTTACAGACGCACGCGCGTCAATAGTTGCATCCTCGACTTTGGCGGTCGACGCACTAGCACTGGTGGGGACGGTGGAAGATGTGACTGCAACAGCTCTAGAGGAAACTGTGCTCGTAATTTGGCTTGCCGTTACAACTCCAGGGGAGTCCGTTGCAGTGGCTGCTACAACATCCGTCGTAGGCTTTACAGTGAATCGAGTGGCATTCAACGGAAACAAAATGGAAATTTTCTTAGCGCTAGAAGACGACTCGATGGAACTGCTAGTCGTTACCGCAGGACTTGTGGACAAGGTGGAAATCGACGTTGCTTGGTTCGAAGACACTTCTTGGCTCGGGGACGGCGTAAGGTTTGACGACGGTGCGAGTTCCGAGGACGGTACGTGACTCGAGGACGGTGACAACTCCGTTGACGATATTTGGCTTGGGGACGGTGCGAGAGCAGAGGACGGAGAAAACTCTGGGGACGGTGGCATTTGGCTTGACGACGGCGGCGCGCTCTGCTGCGCGATAGGCTCAGCGTCTGTCGTTGCCGTGGCGACGCCCTCCCCCGGCGTCGTCTCGCGGGTCGGGTCGGCAACGGCGGCGGGCGGTTCGGGGTCAGAGGTCGACGTAGCGACGGTGCTCTCCACCGCGTCCGCATCCTCGCGGACGTTGTCGAAGAGAACGACGGGATTCTCCCCTGCCGCCGCCGGCCGGGCATCCTCCGTCGTCGACGACAATGCTGTCGCCACGGCAACTGTGCTCGACGTCGGTTCGAGGGAAGAGCCGAGCGGCGACGTCGCCGTTCTACCGTTGCCGCCAGGTGGCGCCTCCGCCCCGGCGACCGTGACCTTGCGGATGGCGACCTCGACGGACGGAATCACGGACGGCGTCGGCGTCGAGGGAGACGTCGGAGCACTGCCGCCAGAGTGCACCGGCGAAGGTGCGGGTTCGCCGGACGCGAGACGGGTCGCGAGCGCGTCCTGGGCGTGGCCCGCCTCCGTCGCCAGCGGCAACACGACTCGCGTCGTCGCCGGCCGCTCGCCCGCTCCGCCGGACTCGGCAGCGTCCGCGTCCGGTGGCGCCACCTGCGTCGTCGCGACTGCTCTCGTCGTCTGCGCCGGGGCATCCGACCCTGCAGTGACCTCCGCCGCCGACTGTGTCGCGGGAGGCGAAAAGATTGTCTCCGTCGTCGCGGCGACGAAACTCGATGCGTCCGCGGAGGGTTCTAGTTCGGCTGCGTTGGGAGGGTCAGCTTCCTCATCTTCTGCTGCTGGTGCTGACGCGGAGGGAAGCGGAGATGTGAGCGAGGCGCCATCGCCACCTGTTGTGCTGGCTGCCGTGGAGTCGGTGAGATCTGCCGGGAGTTATCCACAGAAATATCACTAGTGCATCGCACACACGCACTTATGCTGTAATACACTACATATACTACGTGACACACCACACCATACCACAGCTCACCGCACCGCACTGTACCGCACCTAATTTAACCGCATATAATCAGGAGTTAATAAAGACAAATGAAGACAAATAAAGACAATTTGTCTTTATTAACTCCTGATATAATTTTTAAATATTGCTTCAGTTAAAATGCCGAATGAATACTCAGACATCATAAGGAGCTATGCTATCAGTTTAGGTTATCCGTAGCAGATGAGATGTTAATATATCCCTTTAATTGGTGTTAAAAATTACCTTCAATATATAAAATATGCTAGATAGTCAATTACTAACTTACATGCTATTCTAGGCTATTGCGGAGAGGAATGACGTTCACACTACTGCAGACAGGTCATCGCAAATATTCAAGAAAAGTTCGACATTGCATTTTGCTGTTCCCCGCCCTACTACTACCGGACGTTAATTGAGACGTTCCCAAAATTTGGATTGCGAAATTGAAAACATAGAATTCCGATCGCGAGCGCTGGCGCGGATGCACAAGGCGTTGCCTGCATGCGCGTTGCTGCTGCGTTCCTCATCAGAGACAAAAACACGGGGTTCGTGCGTGCATCCTAAATATAAATCATATATCATAATCATAAATCATAAATCACGCTGCGGAATGGAAAACATCAAAACATCCAGCCGTGCGAAACACAATAGTATTCTTCTCCTGCAGAGTAATTTCATATTATTTTTTAGCCAGAGAAAACTATTCTCAGCATAAAAATATAGAGTAGCTTACCTTTGAAGGTGTCTCCATTGTTGTCTTTACCAGAGCTCTCCTGGCCATGCAGCTATAGTAATACCTATGGCAACCTTTCCATGCGTTTATTGTAGCACCATCACACCTATCACACATTAGATCAGAAACATGACTTAATTATTACTCTACATGCTTGCAAATGCATCGATGTGGTGTGGCACTAAAGACCTTGAGTAATAGACGAGTTTATTTCTTATGTAATTGTGTACAAGTGTTGTAAGGCTACCATACTTGTAATATAACTAGTAAACGTCACATCTTTCTTTCTTTCTCTCTCTCGCCCTCTCTCTATATATATATAATTAACTTTATTGCTACATAACTTGTAATATTCCGTTTAAACGTCACATGCGCTTCTCTCGCCCAATCAGCTAGCTTGTATATTTCCAACAACCTTGACGTACCCGAAAGCTGGCAGCTGGCCAAGAGTTGCCTCGATGTCCAGCGGTTCGCTGCGCATGAGGCGCGTGGCGTCGGCCTCTCGCTCGTAGATCAACCCCTTCCGATACGACAAACCTGCGACGACAGCAAAACCCGTGATGGCACGAAGGATGCGAGCGGACACGGCATTCACGCAGCCGTAGCCAGTGTTCTTTTGAAACACATCATCACGCACACACACACGCAAGCATGCACATCAGTCACATGCATGCATGCACGCACGCACACACGCACACACATAGGTAGGCACACACACGCACACACGCACGCACGCACAGTCACAACCGGGTCACAACAAATAGTTCACGATCTCGCGACACTCAAAATTCTCTGGCAGAGAGCGATTGTTTCCGACCTCTGCCAACGACACTGCAACCAAACCCAAGTGACCTTTGACAAGTGAACAAACAGGTTTCTCACCAAGCTCTGCCAGGTACTTGAAGAGTTCAGAGAGAGCCTTGCGCTTTCGCAGGTGGATGCTCTTCGCTTCTGACATCTGCTTGTCCTTGTCCAAGGTCAGGTTGACCTCGAGGGCCTGCATCGTGTGTATGCCATCGATGACATCTCCTGCGCACGATACGAACAGATGTCACGATCATCTCCTGTTATTCATTACTGTTACTATTATTGGTAAGATTATTATTATTATTAATATTATTTATTGTTATTATTATTATTAATATTATTTATTTTTATTATTTGATTGCTTGATAAATTGGTCGGAGTTCATCTACTGTTTATCTGAAACAAATTCCTGGTTTTATTATTAATATAATTATTGGTTTGTAATGACTGTTCGCGACTGTACCGCAATAACAACATGAACTGCTCACCGGTGAATTCGTCCAGCGAGTATGTTAGTTTTGCGTATGGCTGCGCATTCATCGTCTTCCTGCAGATCTTTCTCATCTTGCTGAAGAGCGCGGGGAGTCGTGCGAATACGCTTCTTGCATCTTCACTCTCCAACACAGATGGTGCCAGCTTCACTTCACACAGAGCCTGGAAGAAAACGAGACCGACTTTTCACGGATTCTCGGATTAATACGTAATTACATGCATCACAACGCTCGTCCGCACAACCTGTATCTTATGGTAGGGAGACTAAAAAAATAAAAATAAATCCTGGATCCAGATCTGGATCCGGATCACCACCAAAATCGAATTGATTGGTTGTTGGCCCAAGACCAACCCGTCCAAAAAAATTCATCAAAATCCGTGCGTAACTTTTTGAGATATCCTGTTAACAGACAAACCAACAAACAAACCAACAAACTAACAGGGGCAAAAACATAACCTCCTTGGCAGAGGTAATAAAGATGAAGTCACGGCACCAAAGTGTGTATGAGAATACAGGTATCAATATGTTCCTGTAGATAATATTATTAGATAAATTAATTAGATATGAATATAACGATGAAGTCACGGCAGTATGTTCCTGTAGAGCAGTTGCTGGCCACACAAAACCTTTAATAATTGAAAATTCTATACAACAATATGAAAACAATCTCATCGGAACATGCAACAACGACAAACCTTCATGCTGTCGGCTGAGATGTACCGTTCCACGTCGACCTTGTGTCTGTCCTTCTCACTCTCTTCTCTCTTTTCTTCCACCGACTCGGAAGCCATCTTGCCTTCGTTGAGAAATCCTCGAACAGGCTGATTTAGTATTTCCTATGTAAGTGCAGCGTGTAAATGACAAAGATATATATATATGCACGCACGCACACACAGCTGTGCAAACATTACTTACACCCATGCACACACTCATAAACACTCACACTGACAAACGTTCATGCACGCACACACACACACGCACACACACAGATGCACACATACACACGCACACACACACACGCACCCCCTCACACACACACACACACACACACACACACACACACACACACACGCACACGCACAGATGAACAAACTGCTTAATTACACGATGGCACCAGGCGAATGCAACCGCACCTACTCTACTCTACTCTACTACCATACTCTTCATAAGGTTGGTTATGAAAGTTTTTTATACAGTAACCCCATCTCGCGAGATAAAGTCGAATGGGGCGCATTCCCCCCCCCAGGTATATGTAGACAGAGATTGTGAACAGAGATGAGAAAGTTTTGTGTGAGTAGCCATCCGCGCTTTGTGTGTTTTTTTAAACAAATCGCGCGTAAGCATTTATTTCTTAGCAAAAACTCGTCGCAAGTTGCTGTATAAAATATGAAGCCTAAACCCGTGTGAAACGACGAGAGCATGCACTGCAAAAACGCACCACGCTAAATAGCAATCACGTTTAGTACGCATTAATAATAATGAGAAATAATTAAACATATAAAAATATTAAACAGTACAACGCCACTGGATATACTTCATCTCCTAACACATCTACCGTATAGACCTACGCACAAACGGAAAGATAACCTGGAATAATATTAATTTTCTGGCAATAATATTAAAATCTTCAAAGTCGGGCCATATTATTCCATGTTCTGTTCATAATAATCATGATTAAAAACGCTATACTGTTCCTGCTTTATGTTGTGATGCGCTAATGTAGTTTTTGTTTATCGTATAGAAGAATGATCTAATGAAAAATACCGAGCATGGATTTTCATATAACATCCGGATAGACATTTCCCGTTTGGCGATTATTTATAGAGTTCATATACACAAGGTTTGAGTCACTGAAGTCAAAACTCCGGATGGGTGTATACGCACAATTATATACTCGTAAAACAACAACATCCTACTAAAATACATCATACACACTGACTGCATAAATTCTACAGTTCAATCATTACCTAGCGTTCACACATACTGACTCATGAATTGTCATGACACTGACCCGTTTGACAGAGCAGAGCGGGGGGGGGGGAGGTTCTGCTAATCATGATACAATAAAGTTAATTATCTTTGTCATGTATGCACGATAGCCGATATGAATTAATTTACCATTAAATATGTCTGCGGCCTATAGACCCTCATGAGGCCAGATGTACAGCGAAACAATCTGACCGTACATGCATCACGGCGCTGTAGATTACTTAATTAATGAGATCGGACTTGCTCATTAGCGAGCGGAAACCCAATCGTTCGAACATTAATACTTTACGATTAACGACACGACTCGTATCCCCCCTGATTCACCTAATGCTCAATAATTATTATGAATCACTCTGTTCGATTGAAGAAGCGTCAAAATCTAACGTCTGTGGTGTCGAAGAGCTGTAGCATGTTAGTTTAATACATTAAATGGAAAAAAAAAGTTTTTTGTTTCCCCTCGTTGTTTAATTTACCACAATTGCATCCGTTTTTATTGCTATCAAGAGCGTAATTACGTATTAAGTACTTAATAGGTACATTGATTAGGTACATTGATAGGTACATAATAGAGGTACATTGATAGCAACAAGAGTAATACTTAATACGTTCTTGTTGCTATCGATGTACGTCTATTGCTATCAACCCACGCTACAGGAAGGAGGACGATGAGAGGGAACAAACACACAACAGATTGCGACTCGAAGAGCGCAGAAAGAGAGACTCTCAAGTTCAAGTTCAAGCTCAAGTAAAATTTATTTTCATCGGTATATAATGAACATTATTAACATAAGCTAAGAGCTTTTGCACCGATATCAAACAAGAGTAAATAGATATTGATTAAAACACGAGAGAAAGGCACACAAAGGCGTAGCAAGGTGCTAATTAGTAATTACACGCTAGCGCATGCACCATCTATAACAAGTCCGCCCTCGATCGCTTAATCCACTCCCTACGTTGCTCAATCTCACGCGTGCTAACTCAATTACACTACACGAACAACCGCGAGATGAGATCCAGGTGAAATAATCGGCATGCAGGTCCCGATCGCTGCCTACCTGTGAACGTACCTTGTGCTCTAACTAGGACGATGGCTGCTGCCGCGCAGGCGATGCAGAGTAATTGGTGCCCCCACCTGCTATTACCGCCGCCTCCGCCCCTCATGACGGCTGTGTACGATCACAGACGCACACACACACACACAGACCACACCTGCCTGCTGTACAACGTGGTGGTGGTGGGGGGAGGAAATCTTGCTGGTCGTAATGTCTGTCGTACGGTACGTCGGTCGTATTCTCCGTCCCACGCCTGCAATATGACACACGCTAAATTAATTACGACTATAGATATATCAAGAATACATAATAGAAGGACCTTCTTAATACGCTCTTGATAAT